AACAATTTACTGGGAACAGCAACAAGATAAGGAACAAACAGAAACAGAAAAAATATTGAAAACAGAAGGGGTAAGAAAAACTATTTACAGGGTAAACTCCATCACCATCAATTGTATCTTTTTGGCTACATGTTTCCTCCTGCATGGAAAGGACACCCTTCTCCTCAGGGAAAGAGAGAGAGTCCCTTTCCTGCCCCAGCAATGACCTGAGGTGGGAGTGAATGTAGTGACAGGGCCATGGCCAGATCCTCATGTTCTTCAATCCCATATCAGGTCATTGGCAGGGGCAGGAAAAGGGACAGGTGTCTTCCCAGCATGGATCACAGGGAATATGGATCACCAGGGCTCTTCCCAATGTGGTCTTCCAATGGGGGATGAAGCTGGAGCAGTGCACAAAGCACTTCCTGCAGCTGGAGAATTTTCAGGACTTCCCTTACCGGTGGCTCCGTTGGTGTTTGGTCAATTCAGAGCTCCGGGTAAAGGCCTTCCCACACTGGGGACACCCATAGGGCCTCTCCCTGGTGTGGATGCGCCGGTGCCTGACAAGGTTGCACTTGTGCTTGAAGCCCTTGCCACAGTTGGGGCAGAGGAAACGCCTCTCCTTGGTGTGAATCTGCTCATGCAGGAGGAGATTTGAGCTGCTGTGAAACCCCTTCCCACAAGTGGGGCACATGTAGGGCCTCTCCCCAGTGTGGATATGCTGGTGCATGATGAGGTGGGAGTTTTGCTTGAAGAGTTCCTGCAGTCAGGGCAGCGGAAAGGCCTCTCATCCATGTGAATCCGCTGGTGTCTGAGGAGACCGGAGCTGCTGTGAAACCTCTTCTGACACTCAGGACACTCGTAGGGCCTGTCCCCAGTGTGGATGCGTTGGTGGATGATGAGGTCGGAACTCCAGCTGAAGCCCTTCCCACATTCCCCACAATCAAAGAGCCATTCCCCGGTGTGGATGCATTGGTGTCTGACAAGGTGAGAGTTGGAGCTGAATCCCTTCCCACACTCCCCACACTTGTAGGGCCTCTCCCCAGTGTGGATGTGTAAGTGCCTGACAAGGTGGGATTTGCAGCTGAATCCCTTCCCACACTCCCCACACTCGTAGGGCCATACCCTGGTGTGGATCATCTGGTGTAATTTTAGATTGTTGCTCTGCCTGAAGCTCTTCCCACACACCAAGCACTTGTAGGGCTTCTCCCCATCTGGAAGCTTCTCAGGGACCACCAGCTCCGAGCTCTGGCTGAAGCTCTGCCCACCTTCCTGGCCCAGAGTGGGTCTTTCCTCCTCAGAGCATCCTGGGCTGGGCTTGCAGCCCCTCCTCCTGTGAGATCTCCAGGGATTTTCCTCCCTGTTGGATTCCTGTGCTGTGGAGTTGCTCAAAATCGCTTCTTCCATGAGGTTCTGCTGCAGGGATTTGTCCTTCCTGCTCTCCATCCTCAGCTCCTGCTCTGGGGGAGGAAGGACAAGGAGAGGATGGGATTTGCCTCTGTGCCAGAGGGAAGGGCAAGGAGATCCCCCCAGTGCGTCCCCGGCAGGAGGGCACCGGCAGCGGGGCTGTCCTGCAGCCGGGGGCCAGGCTGGGCTGGGAGATGGAGCAGGAGAGAGGGGGAAAGGGGCACTGACTTCCTCCTCACCTGCCTCGGGGTCCCAGGGCATCTTCCTCGCAGCCTCCTCCTCCATCCAGCCAAAGTCTGGGAATGGAAAATCCTGTTTTGGAAGGAATACAAGGGATGAGCGCATTGAGTTTTGTACTGGCTTCAAAGCAAACTAGGGGGAGAGTCTAAGCCAGAATGACAATTGAATAAGAAAATTAAGATCAAGGCAATGATACAGAAACACTGGGTTAACCTGACAGAGACAGGATATAACCTGACACCCCGTTGCTCAGGGTGTGGTAGCAGTCTGATGAAATGGTGGCTGAAGTCCGGCTGGAGTGATGAACGTGATTCTGTCAAAGCAGTGATCCTGTAGAAGGGTCTGGTCTTGCTCTGAAGGTCCAGTGGTGGTTATGGAGCTCTTGTCCTCTGGGAATCCAGTAGTCAAGGTGGTCATGGTGTTGCAAATGGTGAGATTATATCCAGGCAGGAATGCTTGGTTCCTCCCCCTGGGCGGAGCATCCCACAATGGGATGATGTAATTTTATCAGTGCTGCAGTGACACTCAATGGCCCATTAACGGAAGATGGCCCCTGGAGGGCGTTATCAGGGCTGAGCCATGGAAGAGATAAAGAACACTGCCCCACCTGTTGATAACAGTTTATGGAGATGGGGACTGAAAACACTTTTGGTTACATCTGACATTGTAACCTGAAACAGTGAGGCAATCCCTGCTCGGGGTGGGGGGTGAACACCACCCCCCTTACCCAAACTGGCTCAGGTGTAAAACCCCCACCCTGGGAAGGCCACGCACACAGGGGACAATGTCACACTTGCCCTTCCCCAGGGGAGATCTCTGTCCCTGTCCCTCCCTTGCTCTCCCCCCTTTTCTCTTTCTTCCCATCTCTCTTTCTACCTCACATTTACTATTCAAGAAAATCCACTTTGGATTTGGTCTCATGAGCACCTTAATTGGGGCAGAGGCATATCTCTAACAATTTTATTAACCAGATTGAGACATTATTTTGGCACAGTGAGTTCAGGGCACTGTTGTCTGGCCCCAGGTGTGTTTGACAAGAGCATGGTTCTCTCCTCTGAGGAGGTTCTGCCTCTTTCTGGAGGAAATCTTGGAAACTTGGATGCAGCTTCCTCTGAGCGACTTTTGGGAGAACTTATGAGGAAAATGGCTGTTTTTGGCGGCCATTGTAAAGAAAATATTTTGTTGCCCTTCCCTGAAAATTTTGTTAAAATCACT